ACAGGCAGGGTTCCTGCTTTAGGGAGGCTGCAGCTGTTACTGTAGGGGTACAGCTCCTGTGTTTTACATTTCTAACCAATCAACTTGTTAGTCAGAAAGAAGAAACTAAAGATGCCACCCAATGTTCACCTGAAGAACTCATTCAGCTCAGGTCCCAAGGGTTACTTTCCCAGGGCCTGTAGAATCTGCAGGGCTCAGATACAACAGCCATTCCACATCAGGGCCTCTGGGGACTTCGCAGACACAGTCACCTTCCTGGTCCTCAAAGGTATGCTGCGTGAGTGCACTCTCACACTGCCCAGCTCTGCCCAGACTGTCTGTAGGATCCCAAGGCACTAGAAACTTTCAGACATCTTCCTGGCCACCACCAGGGCCAGCCTTGTGATCTGGGACTCTCCCTGCCATGTTACTTGAGAAGCCCTCTTCCTGCCAGCATTGGCCCAGGTGTCTTGGACTTCAGCGGTCAAGAACAGACTTCAAAAGGCTAAGTGGAAGGTGACCATCTTCATAGAGTCCTTGGCTTCCCAGAAATCTTTGGCTGTTAGCCCTGACCTCCGGTCAGTTTCCTGCAAATGAACTTGCAATAGCTCCATGAGGGCAGGGACTGCGTCTGTCTGGTTCACTGCTGTCTCCTGACAACCTCAAGGACAGGACTGGAATTCAGCTGGTGTTCAATACTGATGTGCTGAATGAATGTACAATGGCCTCTATCAAGGAAGGAGCAAAAGCACAGAGGAAAGATCCCAGGCTTCAGAATCAGGCACACTTACTTGGATTTGAAATCGTTTAGTGATACCATTTATCGTGGCCAAGCTCAAGCACATCATCCTGCTCAGCCTCCTCATCTGTGAGCAGTGATCTTAACACCAACCTCAGAGTAATGCTAGCAGCATTAGTTGGAAATGACATATAAAGCTTTTAGCACGGTACAAGGTAGAGAATGCTTTGTTTTCAGTTTATAAACACTTCTGTAGCTCTCAATGAATGCTAAATGACATTCAAACATGGTAGGAGGGAGTCACAAATCACAATGAGTTCATTTAATACTTGTAAAAACCCTGTGAGAGGAGCCGAGCTCCTCTGTCACTGAGGAAACTGAGACACAGAGGAGTGAGGCAACTTGCCCAAAGCCTGAAATCTAGAAGTACAGGGCTAGGATTCATAATTACAAAGGCTGTTATGTCCTATGGAAAACCACCAGTGAAAGTCAGTTTCTGTCCTAACCCTAGTGTGATTATGGGTCCTTGCAAGACTGGTGTTTCGGTTACAAAAGAAACAGATCCAGGTATTCCCGTGGCTCCCTGCTTTGTATTGTCTTGTTGTAAACTATGGCCTACTCCCCTAAAATCCAATTTCGGAGAGGTTTTGTTGACTAAGAATTAGCCTCTCATCTTGTCCTTCTGCTACCTCCTCCCTCACTGCCGGTGGAGGTGGGGGACACACAGCAAAGCAAATATAAGATTAAAAATGAAAAGGGAAGACAGACGAGAAAGAGAGAATGCCCAAGGAGCAAGCATGTGTGGCCTTAAAAACAAAGTCAAAGGAGGTCTCACCACCCCCTCCCTCCCTTTTCTAATAATCTGTAAGAACAACTGCTACATATTTGGGAGCCCAAGGCCAAAGCAATCTATCCACATAGAGACCAACTACATAAAGTCCCAGCTCCCCTGAAGACCAAGGTAACAGAAAGAATTAAGCCATCTCCTCCAATGGACAAAACCTCTTCATAAAGAGAGCTTTCCATTCCCTTCCTTTGAGATTGCATTTGCTCCACTGCCAACCACGAAGCAAATTTCATTACCAAAATAAATCACTCGACCTTGCTTCTCTGATGGCTCAGGATTAGTGACATCACAAAGCATTGTACAAATGCTCAGAAATATCAGAAGAACCCCCTCATAAAAAAAACACTTGGTATTTCACTAAAAGACATTAAATTATCTTGATTTTACTGCATGGAATTCCAAATGCTTTCAATATTTTCATTTTCAAAGCCCTTAGAGGACAAGTATGCTCCTAAAACCTTAAGAACCACTGCTTTCTGGTCTGGTTTGTGTCCTGATTCATGTATACATGATGGAGAACAGGCCAGAAGCCAAGGAACGGTAGCACTGCCCCCCCACTGCTCTTGCGACTGTTCGCCCAAGTAGCTAGGGCCTCACTATGTAAGCTCCCAATCAACTTCCTCTGATTCTCAGAGTCCCAGGAAGGTCAGAGGCAGCTCTCACACACTTCAGGCAGTTCCTCTGAATGGGTCCAGTTTCTACCTTCCATAACCCAACAAACCACCATGTCTCCTCTCCAAATAACAGAAGCTCTACCAAGATGATCAAAGACAGGGAGCTGAGTAAGGATTTTTTCTCCCTGGTGAGGCTAGGGTGACTGCACAGCCAGTATAGCAAAGCCATCTCGTGCATCCAAACAGAAAACTAAACCCTGCTGGCAGTGTACAATGCCTGCAGAAAACCCATACCCAGTAAGACTGGTCTTCCCAAACAAGATGTAATTCCTAATACTCCTGGCTCAAAAAGACAGCCTCATTTTAAAACAGACTGGCCACCAACAGAATCAGTAAATGTAATGTTGACCTGAAAAAGAATCCATACTTCAAGAGCTTTTGCATTCAGAAAGCACTCAGAATCTGAATTACCCTAGAAGCTACAGACGTGTTCCCACCACCACTAGCACATTTGCCAACAACTGATCACCTTGCTGAGTTACAAGTCCCAAAATCATAGCATCATAAAATGGAAAAGTACAAAGGATACATGGACATCACCTACTTAACCTTTTTTTTTTTTTTTTTTTTTTAA